GGAAGAAAAAAACAAAACAAAACAGGTAAAGTGAAATTATTTGGTTTATTTATTTATTAAAATAGTAGTGGACTAGGAAGAGAACTCCCATTTATTTATTGGAAAAGTGGTGCTGCTTTAGCAGTATCACTCTGACACTCATTAAACTGTCAGAAGAAAATGAAAAATACTGGGGAGTGGAGGGATGTAGAAAGCACTCAAACACAAGAAAGTTTCTCACATGCCTGACCATTCATCCATTGCAAGGGACTGTGTGAGGATTATGCAGAACGAATGAGCTGGTTGGTGCCTGTTTGCCTTAGGAGGTGGAGCTCCTCTCCTTCCTTACCTTGCTCTTCTTAGAGGAATTGCCCTTGCACTCAGCTTTGAATAGAAACACCTTCAGCCTGTGTTTCTGTCTCTGTTCTCCTCCTGGCCACTCACCAAGTGCTGCTGCTTTTATCCTACTTTTAGCATTTATTAGCTGCATGATTAGCTGGATAGTAGACATGGACCAGCTGGAAAGGAATCAGGTGTTTTTAGGCTCTGCTCAGTGCCCAGACTTTGCAGATCATGTGCCTGCACCAGTGCTATTCTGGCACAAATAGAAGTCAAGACCCTCTTTCTTGTTTATGGGGTAAGATAAAATTACATCAGTTTTAGCTTAAAACTGTGCCCCGAGCATGTGGCTGGATATGATGCTGTCTAGTACAACTGCCATGCTCATAGGAAGAAAGGGATTTCTATTACATTTCTGTGCCAATTCAGATACTTCCTCAGTTCCTGGGGAAAATGGTTTTTGTTTTTTGGAGGCTGGCAGAAAACTGACTAAATCTTCTGTCAGATCAGCCAGCGGAACTGTCTTAGTGTTTACACAGTTACCTGGTCTGGTGGAGAAGAAGCTAAGGAGGAGAGAGGTGAGGGGGAAACAGGCAAGTAGGAGCTCTTCTTTTAGGGGAAGTCCACAGATGCTCCAGATTGGAAGGTGTTGGAGACAAATCTAAATATTTTGCATAACAAAGTACAAATTTGAGTACAATTTCAGTTAAGGGTATGTTTCTTTCTGTCCCCACAGTTCTAATGACTTGCCTTTGAATCAAAAAAGTTGGTCTTTTGTCATGCAGGGAAAATTTAGTAGGAATTATAACTACTTTGTCATTAACAAAACAAACCGCTGTTTCAATTATTTTGAATGCTTCTGGGTTTTTTTTTTTTTTTTTTTGTGTGTTAATAAAGTCAGCCTTAATCATCAGATATTGTAGTATCTGCAGAGATTAGCTGACTTGGGTTTTAAAACCAAATGTAAAATAATATGAATAATAGTTCACTGAATAATTTTATTTATTGAATAAAACATTAGATTTTGTTACATAGTATACATGGACATATTTTTATTGGCAAAACAAAATAAATTACAATTCTAATATCTCCTCAGATCTGAAACTTATACTTGATTGTTTTTAACTTTTGAATACATTGATTTTTTTTTTTTTGTTACAGATGACTCAGATTCCCATCAGCTTACTAAGTGTGTTAATTTACAGAAGCTGTAAAAAGCAGGCATTAAAGTCATAGAGTGTGCAGTGTGCCCTTCAGCGCTGATTACATGCTCATTACCTCTGACTCCCCTCGTGTGTGTGGTTTTTATTCTGGTTCTTTATTCTCAAAAGACACATGCATGTGCTACTTTTTCCTGAGTTGCTGCCAGGGGATTAAGGGAGCTGTGATAGTCCTGCTGTCCATCAGCTGAGGAGATCCCACTAGTGAATGAAAGGGCACAGGGATGAATTAAATCACAAGCAGAAGCTGGACTGGCACAATGTGTAGAGGGATCGAGGGCATGCATATGGTGATATCCTTGGGGTGTCAGGAGGGAATTTACAGCCCCTGAGGACTTCCCTCATCCAGAATATTGGTGTGTGTGGATTTACTGAGCTCCTGCCTCTCTACATCCATCTTCTGGATGAAACACTCATTTGACATTTGCATGTTCATTATCTGTTCCCTTCCCTTGTCCCTCTGACAGAAGAGTTTGGGATATAAAGCTGTTAGTTCAAGCTCAACTCAGACAACCTGATGACATTAAGAACAAGAAAAAGGGGGATGTGTTCTGAGAAAACATTGAGTTTTTTGTTCACTAATATTATTTTAGGTTTAGGACCACTGCTTGTACTTGAGTAGTACAAGCAGCACCAACTCAGCAAGTTTGTTGATGATACCAAGCTCTGTGGTGAGGTCGGCAGGTGAGGATGGAAGGAATGCCATCCAGAGGGACCTGGACAGGCCTGAGAGATGGGACTGTGCAAACCTCATGAAGTTCAACAAGGCCAAGTGCAAGGTCCTGCACCTGGGTTGGGGCAAACCTAAACATGGGTACAGGTGGGGAGACAAGTGGACTGAGAACAGCCCTGTAGAGAAAGCCCAGGGGGAATTGGTGGGTGAAAAACTGAATGAAAGCCTGTTGTGTTCTGGGCTGCATCAAAGGAAGAGTGATGCATGTTGAGGAAGGGGATTCTGCCCCTCTGCTCCACTCTTGTGAGACCCCACCTGGAGTGCTGTGTCCAGCTTTGGGGGCCCCAGCATAAGAAAGATATGGATCTGTTGGAGCAAATCCAGTGGAAGACCTGATAGTCTGATGAAGACCATCAGGGGTCTGGAGCACCTTCCATATGAGGCCAGGCTGAGAGAGTTGGGGTAGTTCAGCCTGAAAAAGGCTCTGGGTAAACCTAAGAGCAGTCTCCCAGTACCTAAAGAGAGCTCAACTGTGCCATGTGAACCACAGATATTAAAGTACACAGTGAAGCTTTGTGAAGCTGGACAACTTCCCAGAGCAGTTGGTTTTTCCCCCCCTACTTCTTCATTAAACTTTAAACAAATAGTTAAATGTATATAAAGACTTTTACAAAGAACACTTTTAAAAGTTCCCAAATCCTGTTGCCTTCCCAATAATCTTTATTTCAGAAGAGGAAACTTGCTGGTTCTAATGTATGGAGCTGAGTTCTATTGCATTCTTTTCTTTTTTATTGTGTCAGGGTTGGTAAATTTGAGCTTTGAAGTCATGACCATAAAGGTTTGAGTGTATTTTTGTAGGAAGGACAATTACAGACACAATAATTGATTAATCACTAATTAAAATCAGGTTTCATAATGCTTTTTAAATAGTGTAGATTTATGTTCCAAATTTGCTTATCATGTGATACGTTACCATGAAGAACAATGCTGTAAATGCAGGGAATCAAAACTGCACTTGTCTAAAGTCTGTGAATAGCTGAAGGCACCCCCAGAACACGTGCTTGGAACATCACTGCTGGACCAGGAGAGCAGCCACTGCTGAGAGGTGAGCACTCCAGCTGCCTCTGGAAGGTCCAGGAGTTTGTCTGCTTTTCTGATAGTTTACTATTATGATCTGCTCTGAATCTGTGCTGAATTTTAATGTCACACCATTCTTAACTCTGTATAATTCAATTAGTTTCCAATGTGAGGCCTATGAGCTTTCATAGATAGAAGTGAACATTCAGTACAGGGCTACAAACTGATTTTGCCAGGCAGGATGGCAAAAATCTTTTTGCAAGGTGGCTGAAGCATGTACTGCCATTGTGCAGCAGCTCCCTGCTTTGTTCTGGGTTCAACAGAATTTGAAATAGCTTCAGTTTCAACTAGGAGCTCAGTTCATACTTGACTTTACATGAAACAGTTGTAAAATTTTTAATGTCTGACTTTTATTTCACTTGAAATGGGTTGAAAGCATCTTGGGAAAATAGATAAATCTCCTCATCTTTCACATGTAATGTTAAAAGGCATTTGAAGAGATCAATGCAAAGTCTTATGAGATCCATAAACCTTTTTGATTGCAGAAGGAAAATGTGTTCATTTCTGAAATCTCTCTGAGAAGTGGAAAAGAAAAATAGGTCATTAATCAAACATGGAACAGAAAGTGTGAAGTTACAGCTTGCAAATTATTTTTGTTCAATGTACTTTTAAAAGATGAAGACAGAAGCACTTGTAACCTTTGTAGCTACAGAATTGCAGTTCTCTTTAAAGCATTTGCAGAAGATGCATATTTGTGCTACGGTTTTCAGTTTTCAGATGAAGAAAATATGCTTGCTTACTTGTTGACCTTTGCAGAGCCCTCTCTCTATAGGGATCTGTAGCGCGTGTTTTTTCCCTTACCCTGATTTTTTTTCAAGGAGAAGAAAAAATGTTGAATAAATTTGGTATACTGTGTCTTTCTCAGGGGATAGATTAGTTGGTAGTTTTGGCTATGTCAGGGTGAAAATGAAACCTTGTGTTTGTGACAGTTGACCTGAGAGCAGCTGTCAAACATGTTTTTGAGTCATGGAAGTATTTGAAAATGTTCCTGTCAAATAATAGCATGTGAAGTTCTTTCCTGACCTTGGAAAACATTGCTTGTTTTAACAAAATAGTCTTGTGGCATCTCCTGTTTCTGTGAATTAGGACCAGTAGGGTTCTTCAAAATTAATCTGTTCTATCGTTAATATAATAAAACAATCCAATCCCCCATGTCAGAGCATCATAATTAATTTGTTCTAGTGTCAGCCTGCTTTCTTTCATGCTGCATTTCATTTTCTAATGGAGGTTACAGGAAGAGGGAAATCATAACAGGACACTGAGAATTGAACTCTAATTTACATGGGAAAATATAATAATAGTAAAGTAGCAGTAAATTTCCTTTGGGGAAAACAAGGTTTTCTTTGGGACAGTTCTTCTTGGTGAAGTTGTATGTTCTCTGACCTTGTCGTTAATGACCTCAATAGAATAATTCCATCGACTTAAATTCACTACAGGATTTAATGTATTTTCCTTTTTCTTATATCCCCTAGATAATTTTACTGATTTCATAGGAAACATAAATTTCATTTACTTTTAGATAACTAGCTTGTGGTAATTCTAGGATATTATGAATATTTCTAAAGCTTTTGCACAAATGTTCTGTAACTGAGGTAGGTGAATTGAAATTTTCATTCCATATTTAAAATAATTTACACTTCTTGTTCTTACAGTGACTGCAACACAGAAGTATCCTTTCAAGTCCCTGAAGAAATCCCCAAAGAAAGAATCCTGTAAGTAAACATATGGGAGTTAAGACTGTGTTACATACTCTATATTCTTCCTAATGGAAGAGTGAACAAGAAGTCACTATGTGACTTTTCATATGTCCAGGTTGCCTTACAGAGCTCAGACAAAGGCTGATGTTATGCTTCCTAATTCTGTTAATTTAGCAGTGATTTTGGTTGCACATAATATTATAGTAAGGCAAATCTAAAGGTGGACTTTGAAATGACATCTTGATATTGAATATCAGTTTCATCAGAGGGCATGTCTCTGCTATCAAACTTTATTCTCAAAACTTTTGCACAGTCTTTCTAAAAATGAAGAAGTTACAGAAATTAATATATTTTTGTATGACTATTTAATATATTAGCTTTTATCTTACTGCAGCATTACATTTCTGGCCCTTTTTCAATTGCAGTCGTGCAGTGGATATAGAAAAACCTACTATAAATCATGGAAGAAACAGGAATAAAATAGCATAATACTTTGATATTTATTGTATTATCTCCCTAAAGAAAATGCTTCGGTGTAGATGAAGAATTGTCTCTCTTGCTGACAATGAGGATCCTTCAGGTTGAGAAACTTTTTAAAATTCACTTGCAAGAGCTGTATTGAGGCTGGTTAAAGTGTTGTAGAAGTGCCAGTGTAACCACTCAGTCCATACAAGTTACACTTTTATAGCTTAAAGAAGACAGTGGTTTTATCTTTGCCATCTCATTATCCTCTAGACACATATATTCCCTACTGCTGGCATAGGTAGTAGAGGTACCTGGACAATTTTGAGTGCATACTGGGGTCTAGGAGAATTGTGAGAGCTAAGTAACCTCATAATCTCCTGTGCAAGTTTCGTGTCTTTAATGGTGGCAGTGTTATGTCCAACGCTTTGCTGTTGCTAATACCAAAGGCTCTGTCTGTGCCTTTGTAAATACAAGATAGATAGGTCTTCAGCTAAACTAGAGGGGAGGTTTGGTGCTTTGGGGGGCTTTGCAGGGTTTTTTGTTTGTCTGTTTTGTTGTTTTTCTGGGTTTTTTCTTTTTGTTTGTTTTTTTTTTTTGGAAAGCTTCTTTGCAGAATCTGGGTATGGAATTTTTTATGATACTGGTTGCACATTGAAAGAATAATTCTCTGGCATGTGTTTGTAAGTATACAAGTAATTTTTAAAATTTGAAATACAGAGAATGTACCTTTCTTTCACATCTGGATTGTGACTTCAGTTGACTAAATAGTGTTTCTAAGGTGTGAGAGTAACTTGCTGGTATTAGGATAAGCAAAGGAAATTAGCTACAATTTTATGCTAACTTCATTCTAATATTACGGCTGCTTGGATGAGAATCAGTTTCCCCTTAAAAACGGGAATGGCATTCATTCTGGGATAGCTGGCAAGCACCCTTCAATGGTAAATCCATTGTGGGATTATTACTGGTGGGAGTTGGAAGATTCAATAACACGTACTATACTGCTAAACTAAACTTTTTTAGGAACAGGAGCTCAGGATATTGGACATTACAGAGTGGATCAAATTAGTCTATCAGTAGAGTTCCTCTGGACAAAATGTAAAAGTATTCTGTCCCAATTTTATGGGTTGCCACATCTGTTTTGCAGCTCTTTTCAGTGGAGGAATGGGTTAAAATCCTTTCTCAGATGGTGGGTAGGGAACTTGAAGTCATATTCTCTATATATTTTTTCTACAGCCTGTGGTAGCACTAAGGAATGTCTTGGTGTGGTTCACAGCTTATCTCCACAGGCAGTTTTGTTGACCCAGATGAAGGAGTGGGGCATGTGAATGAGTAAGAAATCTTGAGCTAATAACATCTTTTCTCCACAACATGATCTGAAGGTTTTTGTTTAAAGTGAATTAATTTTCCAGAGTGGAATGGGGTGGTCTTTCATGAACTTACCTGAATAGAAGCTCTATGGAAAAAAATACCTCTCTGGAGATAATTGTAGCATGGCCCATTAGTCACTGACTTTCATCAGTGGTGACTGAGAGAGCTGAATAATTTTGAAAACTGAAGGCTCTTCATCTATATATAAATAAACTTGTATCAATGGATATTATTAGTGGACGACTGAAAAGTTGTTTAAACCCACGAGTCCTTTAAAGTTCTACAGAAAGCAACGTAATAATATTTTCCAGATATATTATGGCTACTGTTAGTGAGCACTAGAGGGCTCTTTAGACTAAAGCAAAAGAATACAATGTCGTGTTTATCATCAAGGATATGTCTGAGGCATTTTGGAATCTTGAATTAAATAATCACAACCACTGTTTTCATTAGAATAGTGTAAGGCTTCCTTTTTCAAGCAAAAATAAATCAATGTCTTTGAAAGGAGAGGCGTATAGCCTGTTTTTATGTAGCAAGTGTTTGAATATTTGAGAAGCGTGGTCTTTATATGTAGGCATCCCACTGGTTTAAATTTTTATAAATTTTTTTGATTAGCAGTCAAGATTTTTTTCATGTTCTCTTTTCAAGTGGTTTATTTTAAGATATGTGCATGGCATATATTTCTTTCGGCTTGTCTGTCCATCGTTAAATGTCTTTCCCTAGGTGGTGGTTAGTTTAGCCCCTGTATTATGAAGCCCAAGTCTGCCTTGCAATCTAATAAATGTGATTGCTGTACGCAGAGGCGAATTTAAAATGTACCTATGCTTCTTTGGAAGTGTTTTTTATTCACTTTGAACTTGCTTTTCTTAAAAGGGCCAAACATTATACATTTTATTAACATAAAAAATGATTCTTAGCTGGTCTGAATTTCTAGTGCAGCCTGGAAAGGCTTTGCCATTTTATACTGGCTGATATGTGAACTGAGTGTGTTTATTCCAGTGTTAATTGATGCCATTTGAGGGGAGAGGAGGAACTGTAAAACCTATTCTATGCAGATGGGAAAAAAAAGACATAAAAGAGGACCACTCTATAAGCTTGAGGGGAACAGTGGTCTTGTTGTCTTGGTTTACACAGCTTTTGTAGTCAGATATATTTTTTCATACGTCCTCTTGATTTTTCCTTATATAGGGTTCTTGTGCATAATTTGTTCGAGTGTTTTTCAAGGACACTGTAGTGTTGCAGAAGGTAGTTGATATTAGAGAAAGGGAGAGACATTAAAAATTGAAGTAGTTATTATGGAACCCAATTTACATCACTCTAGGTAGCATAATTTTTTATTGTCACAGGGAAGCCTGAAATTATGAACCAAAATTAATGCAACTGTGCTTTCAAATGTAGAGCTTTTACACAGACGCAAATGTACACTTGTTTCAATATGACTTTGTAGAGAACAATGAGTAGGCTGCTTATTTAGAAAAATGAAGGGCATTTTTTCCCAATAGCAAGTCAATCATCAAAGCAGCAAATGAGACTTTAAATAAAGGCTGAGAGATAGTTTATTTGTGGGACCAATGCACTAGAAACCAGTGGAGATTTTTTTTGTCTTAAATAATGTTGGTAGCAGCAACATAATTTTACTTGAGACACTGTCCTTCAAATGTTCCCCATTTTCTTGGATTTTCCTGGCCCTGATATACTGTTTCCAGTCACCGGTACATGCAACTTCTTTTTAGCCCTTGGTAGTGGTGTTTTGTACAAAACATTCTGCCTTTGAGTGGAATTTTTGGAAGTAAAGAAATGTAATGATGTAGTGGGCCCGAGAGGAGGGGATTTGAACTGTTTAAAGATCAGAGTGATCTATTTCCATCTGGAGTTTCTCTCAGGTTCCTGAGACTCAAAGTATCGATTGTTCAAAATGGGGCTATGAATTTACAAGCAGGAATCCTTCCTAGTCAGGAACTAGGAAGGGAACTCTGTTAATTGACCAGAACAGCTTGCAGAGAGAACAAGGAAAGAACATTGTGGTCCATTTTATAATCTTCTCTCCTCCAAGTCCCATCAAGCTTACTTTATTGTTCTTGTATGCTAGAAGGTCTCGGGGGAAGTGGGAGAAAGAGGTAGATGGAGGTAGAATTGGGGCACTTTGCCTGCCAGGGAAAGAAGATACATTGTTGAAAAGCAATGGGCTGAGGGATCTGTGGAACTGAGGTCAGACTGTGAGGGGCAGTGGGGAAGGCTAGGGGCACAGGAGGCAAAGAAAACCTGCTGCAGGTACAAATTGTCCCTGACTGCTCCTAAACCCTCTACCCCTCCCAGAACCATCTAACTCCTTGCTGGTACCCACTCCCTAGGGATATTTGGGAATCCCTCCAGACCTGTCATGTCCTCGCCCTTTCTCCACTGCAGTCCAACAACTTCCCCACCTATCATAACCCCACTCCTATCACCTCTGCCCTATCTAAACCCCTGCTCTGCTGCTGTTTCCAAATATTGGTGGCACAGGAATTAGGACAGAAGTACTTAGTTTCTTCTCATCCTTGAGGCAGTAGAACTTAGTTTTATCCATCTTGCTGAGGTGCCTTGAAGTGACTCCATGGAGGATAGCATAACTCTCTTCCCCCAAACACTGCTAATATTAGACCTAACAATTATCAGAATCAAAGTAATTTCAGTTGTCTTTGAGGATGAATGCACTGTCTGTGTCGTTCAGTTTGCCACACACACTGAGTGAATTTGAGGTACGGACATTAGACTTCATTAAAATGTCTTCTGAACACTCTATGGCCAAAGACATGTCCGGCTGCTGTATTTCTATTTTTCATCACTGATGAAGATGCGTGTGGTGACTTAGATTAGAAGATGACAGTCTTGGATCTGTCTCAGCTGCTGCTTCTAACTATCATAGAACCAAAATAGCATAAGCTACAGCACAGTTCGCAGAGCTTGCAAAACACGCTTGCCTAGGGAAATTGCCAGCCAGGTATCAAATACTTTGGCAATGAGAAGGTTCCTTTGATAGAATCAGCAGTTTATTCCATGAGTGCAGTCTACAATTTAAGGAGAGCCTGTGTTGGCACTAAGCTGAACAAACTGAATGTTCAGTGAAAAGAATATAATGCATTTAAAAATTATTTCAGTCTTCTGTGTCATGGTTAGTCTATTTGACTAGGCTTTGTTTGAAT